TGTTTACTTTAAAACAACAGTTTATTTATTAATAATTTATTTAAACACCTATTTATTTTATAACATTACTATTTTAATTTATATATATTTCGAATGTCTTTGAATCGTTCACTATTTATATTCACCACTGTCTATCTACTAATTACTATTTATCTTCAGTGTCCATATAACTAACTCTGATGGCTCCTCCACCAATATTTATATACAAATTTAAAAAAATTGGCGAATGTTCTAGTAAATTCACATATTCTCTCCAATACACTAGAAACATTATCTCGTTCTTTCTCGAACATCATCGAAAGCACCTCCACCATAGTCGTCCCATAGGTTTGGTCTTAAGGGGTTTAATTATGTATAATAAGCGGACAAGTTGAGCCTCAAAGGCCAAATAATACAGAGAGGGACTTGGAGTATTAGAGCATGACTGAATAATGAAATGGCTCACATTACATTGCCCCCTCCTTAAGAGATAGTTCCTCCTGGAACTCTTACGAAACTAAAATGGAATGGTTGTATCTGCAACTGAACCCTCTTCTACAATTTCCAGTTGCATGGAAGTAACAAGGGATTGTCTTCGCTGTAACCTGGGCACTGGGCGAATGGCTGCAGACCAGTATTTGAACTCCGGTATCTTAAAAGATTACTTCCACCTTGTTCCTAATGATCCTACAATCCAGCTGATTTCGTTTTATCTTTGGCATGGCTAGTTTTTGTACATTGGACTCCCGTACATGCTCCCTTAGACTAAGTAGTGCTTCCCATGCATCCTGATAGGTGGATCGATCTTGGAAGGTGTTCTTCGTTATTAAATAAAAAAGATACCGTAACCCGTCTTAAAGTTTCAAGGCTTTTCCAGGGGTTGGTAACTGACATTGAAGTTCTACCAGTCGACCAAACTTCTTACGGAACACATATACCAGTCCTCGCGCGTCGTTGATGCTGGCGAGCAGTCTTTCTGAAGCGATAGCAGATCTTATTGTTGCTCGATCGTAATATCATATCTGGCTTTTCCAGTACCTCCATATGCACCCATAAATTCTTCAAAGACAAGCTCTGGTGTTTCTTGAAGTTGGCGCCAACCTGTTTTGGTGCACTACCTTTGCTTTACCGTTTGGGATCTTACTTATACGGTAAATTACATCATTTATTTTATTCTTGATGAGGTACGGACCTTTCCAAGACCTTCGAAGCTTCGGAGAATAACCCTTTTATCTTTTTGTATTATGGAGCCAGACTTTTTCGCCTTCCTTGAAACATCCCTCCGTAGCTTGAGTATCGTAACGTTTCTTCATCCTGTCGCTGGCGATTTGGAGATGCGAGCGAACTAATTCATGCATGTCATCCATTCTTCTTCGTAACTGGATCACATAATCTTCACCAGCTACATCTTCTCCAGGTCGGCATCCAAACTCGAGGTCGCACGGTAGTCTCATCTCACGCCCAAACAAGACCTTTGCTGGTGTTTGGCCTGTTGATTCATTGACAGCGGATCTATAAGCCATTGCAAAGAGCGAAAGATACTGATCCCAATCTCGCTGATGGTTTGAAACCACTTTTGACAGATATTTGCCAATGGTCTTATTCATTCGTTCTACCATTCCATCGGATTGTGGGTGCAATGCTGTGGTTCGGGTTTTCTTCATGCCTAGCCTGTTACAGATTTCACGGAATAGTTAGCTTTCAAAATTTCTGCCTTGGTCACTGTGGATATCCAAGGGCACTCCAAATCGACAGATAAACTCTTCTGTTAATACATCTGCAATAGTTGCGGCCTCTTGATTTGGAATTGCATAGACTTCCACCCACTTTGTAAAATAATCCATAATCACCAAAATGTATTTATTACCATCCTTGGTCGCGGGGAATGGTCCAGCAATATCTAAGGCGATCCTCTCAAATGGGCTACCAACGTTGTATTGCTTCATGGGAGCCTTTCCTTTTTGTTGAGGTCCATTACTCATAGCACAGGTGGTACATTTCTTACACCAGTCCTTTACATCATCGGAACTGTTCATCCAGTAAAACCTTTCCCGAACTCTCTAAAGGGTTTTCCTAATACCGAGATGTCCTCCTGATGGACTGTCGTGTAACTGACGGAGTACTTCAGCTACTCTACTTCTTGGAATGACCAACTGTCTTTTGTTTTCGGAACCGTCATCATTTTCCAGTACTCGCTTTAATAAGCCATCTTCCAGGATAAAGGAGTTCCACTGAGCCAAATACGACTTAAGTACTCGAGAGAGATTAGATACTTCTTGCCAAGTAGGTCGACGATTTTCCTCTTTCCATTGTCGCATCTTCCTTAAAACGGTATCGTTCTCGTGTTCTTCCCTAATTTTAGCAGGGGACCACTCATCGTTGACAACCGACGTTCTTCGTACTGTAACTTCTTTAACAGATGTGGCCAACCCCTTTCCAATCAGAGTTCCTTGACCAACACCTTTATTGCGCTTCGAAGGTTCCGCCATGACAGGCGTTGCCTTCTCTACAGTTCCTTGCAACCGCCTTACTCTTATCATTTCACTACTTTCAGGTAACACCGTTCCTTCCTGTACAGCCACCGGCACGGTTTTTCGATACGGTTTTTTCGATTCGTAGTCTTCTTTGGCCGTTTGCGCGAACTGCTTACTTTTCCCATTGCTTCGCAATTCCAGCACCTAATAGCCTTCGGTTGCTTCTCAATAAGGTTTTTATCATGTGAAACAATTGGTCCAATTTACTTCCCTGTTCTTCTTGTACAGTCCTTACTTCACTGTATCCACCAGAAGCCAGCGTGGCCGCTTCATATTCAAGAGCAGCGGACAAGACATCGACCAATGTTTTGTGACGGTCTAAACGAAGTGTCCTTTGCATTTCATGGTCACGAAGTCCATCTACAAATGCTTAAACAGCCAAACATTCAATTATGTATTCCGGAGCTGATGGGTAGGCAAATCGCACCATCCTGGCAATAACTACTTCATATTCTCGTCTCGTTTCTGTTTACTATTATTCAACTGTGACTGGTACAAATGCTCCAAGTGTTCGTGGCCATATCACATATTTAGTCTCTTTTTGAGTTGTTCAAAATCATCTGTCTCTTCCACGGGTATAGTCTGAAGGACATCCAAAGCGTCTCCTCGAAGGGAAGGTCAAATTTATTGCCTTTTCTCGTTCAGACCACTCGTTTGCTCTGGCAGCTGTTTCAAACTGCTTAAGGTAGTTCGTCCATGACATCTTCTCTCAAAAGTTGGGGCTTTAAGTTAAGGAGAGTTTACAGCTTCTTTTAATTTCAACTTCGACTCCACCTCATGGCACTTTATTTCACCGTTGTTGGTTTGGTCTACGTGTTCCATTTCTTCAATCTTCTTTTCCATTTCTTTTATTTTCTCCTCAACGAAAGACATTATTTTATTCTCAACGGAAGAAATCTTATCATCCATAGAAGAAATTTCGTTTTTCATAGAAGACATTTCGGAAGACACTTTTTCTTCTAAAGAAGAAATATTAGACGAAAATTTATTTTCCATAGAAGACATTTTGTTTTCCAAATCGGAAGAAATTTCATCTTTTAAAAAAGATATGTCAGAAGACACCTTTTCTTCTAAGGAGGTAATATCGGACGAAACTTTACTTTCTAAGGAAGTAATATCAGAAGAAACTTTACTTTTTAAGGAGGAAATGTTAGAAGAAATATCAGTTTTCATAGAGGTCATATCAGACGAAACTTTGGTTTCTAAAGAGGAGATTTTGTTTTCCAAATCGTAAGAAATTGAAGAAATTATTGAAGAAGCATCATCCGAAAATACAAAAGTTTCCGGATCTAAACCTTCACTTTCCAGTTCTTCTTTAAGCCTCTCTGCCAGTTCTGCTTTTTTCCCTGTAGTCTCCAGATCACGATCCTCTAATTCTCGACGCAATTCGGCCACTTTTAATTCACACAGTTTTTTAGCCATTATTGTCCACTATTTATTTACACTATTCCACTTCTCGACACCAATGTGATGTTTGTTTAGTTTAAAACAACAGTTTATTTATTAATAATTTGTTTAAACACCTATTTATTTTATAACACTACTATTTTAATTTATATATATTTCGAATGTCTTTGAATCGTTCACTATTTATATTCACCACTGTCTATCTACTAATTACTATTTATCTTCACTGTCCATATAATAACTAACTCTGATGGCTCCTCCACCAATATTTATATACAAATTTAAAAAAATTGAATGTTCTAGTAAGTTCACATATTCTCTCCAATACACTAGAAACATTAACTCGTTCTTTCTCGAACTTCATCGAAAGCACCTCCACCATAGTCGTCCCATAGGTTTGGTCTTAAGGGGTTTAATTATGTTTAATACGCGGACAAGTTGAGCCTCAAAGGCCAAATAATACAGAGAGGGACTTGGAGTGTTAGAGCATGACTGAATAATGAAATGGCTCACATTACAATATTTACTGGCATTTACAATCACTTGTAAATCGCCTCTAAACTCCACGCCAAATAACAAGAGCCGTTCCTCTCTAACACAGAACCGCTTTTAGGGATTCACCTGTAAGAAAATGATAATAATGAAGTTATTTTAAATATAATGCAATGCAAATAAAGTAAAATAATCATCAACGATTCATTCATTATTTACAAAAACAGTAGACACAAAAAATTAGTGTTACTGATAACGTTTTGTAATTTGATCATTTTGTGTATTACGTAATGTTTACAAATATTGGGATTTAAATTGCAAGGTTCTAACGGCAATTAAATAAAGTACTCATGTATAATTATTAATAATAATAAGATAATTTAGTTATTTCAAGTGATAAATTCTAGAAACGATAGTGGATATTAATGTGTTACAAAAGCTGAATGAATAATAAATATATTTAAAACTATGTACAATACTTTTTACGCATTAATATTTTTCTCAAAATTATTAACAAATAAAAATGTATATAATACAGTATACGGCGGGAAAGTAAAACACAAATTAACCCTAAATTATTTTTTACAGATTCTCGACGATCTCAAATACAGATTAGAAAATACTTTACCTTTCCAAAAACCCCTTGTGGGTGTCAAGCACCATTATGGTATTAATACAAACCTTCTTCAAAATATTATGGATTTCTGGAAAACTGAATACAACTGGAGAGAAAGAGAGAAGTATTTTAACAAATATCCTCATTTTCTTGTCAACATTCAAGGGCTAGATATTCACTTTATCCGTGTAAAGCCGGAAACTACCAAAGATCTTAAAGTATTGCCTTTGTTGGTACTACATGGTTGGCTGGGATCAGTGAGAGAGATGTATGAATTAATACCGTTACTGACGACACCACGAAAGAAAAAAGATTTCGTGTTTGAAGTTATTGTTGTTTCGTTACCAGGTAATGTCAGATCTACAATGATGATTTTATGGAATATTAGGTAACTAATTAACAGATATTTTTTTTTTGAAAAACATAGAAATTTCAATATAAGATAGATCCCAGTAAATATGATAGAAGAGATAAAATAAATTAATAATAATTATAGAATAGTAATGTCAAGGTTTTAGAATATCAAAATTTGATGTAAATGTTGCAAAAATTAAAAATTTCATGAGAATTGTGTACTTATCCATTGCAATAAAATTCTTTAGAAAAAATGAAATCTGCAATAATAGTTTTTGGAAAAAGCAATCAATTTTTAAAAGTTAATTACTCAAATTAAGAAACAGCTATAATTACCGAAGGGAGGGGGTGCAAAAAGTTAAATTAGTGGTGCATATGAGTGCATCAGGAGTGCATACCAGTGCAATATTTTTTTTTGTGAAAAAATCATTGGGGGGGGGGGGCAAATTCACGGTAAAGAAACAGCTATAACTACCAAAGGGAGGGGATGAAAAAAGTTTAATTGGTGGTGCATATGAGTGCATGACAAGTACTAACTGGTGCATTACAGTAAAACTTAAAATTTTCACTGGGGTAGGCAGCGTTTATTTGCCCCCCCCCCCCACAAAGAGATGGCTGTAGTATCTCAATGAAGGTGGTGCGTAAAAAATAATTAGTGGTGCATATTGGTGCATCACTAGTGCATTATAGTGCAATAGTTTTTTTTATTGAAAAATATCATTGGGGGGGCAACTTCATGCACCTCATATTAGATAAGAACATTTCCGGAACATTTTTTATCAGTAATAAACATAAAATGGGCACAGTATAACAAATTATTTGGTTCATTTGTAAATGTTATAAGGTTCGTTGAATGAATGGCATTATCTAAAGATTTTTTAAACTTTTATAATAGTTTTATAAATTTTCAATTTTAAGGTTATGTCGCATATCAAAATCAGAATTATTTTATTTATTTAAATATATCTAGTGGAAATAAATTAACTCTAGATTTGTCATAAAAGATATTTAATTAACATTGGTTTTGTCTTATAAACTAGTAAAACCGAGAATATAATTAGTTTTAGATCTGTCGTAGATTTGAAGCAATTCAGAGGTATAAGAAAGTTCTTTTAAGACATAATCATGTTAGTATTAACAACTGTAATACAATAATCAAACTATATCAGTCATCCCGACAAAACAAGTTTAGGTTTAAAGTCAGGCCTTTTTCACCATTTTTTGTTGCATTTTATACATTTTATGACTTAATATAACATAATCTTACTAAATCGTTTGCAATTTAAGTGTTTGAAAAATTGAAATTATTTGAATTGTTTTTACAGTTTCATGGAGCAAGCATAATATAATCTATATATTATATTATTATTATTATATAAAAGCGAAATACCACTCACTGACTCATCACCAGATCTCCAAAACTACAAGCCCGATTGACTCATTTCTCGACGTAGACACCCACTAAGAATGCATTTTATAATCACCACATTTTAACATTTTAAGGGGGGAAACGGGGGGTGAACGTTTGTATGAGAGCATAGATATTGTTAATGGTAAGAATATTGAAACCCCCCAATTCCAATACATTTAAATAATAAATTAGTAGGCAAATATTGGAATTTTATCAATATCTCTTTTTTGTTCCAATAGGAAAAAATTGGAATTGTGGTTACTTATCATAAATCAATAATGATGTGTTCCAGGGTTTCTAGATTTTCACATTTTAGGAGGGGAAACAGAGGGTAAAAGTTTAAAGAGGGAGTATGGACTTTTTTAAAGGTGGTAACTTGTAAATTGTGATTGTGTCTACTGTCTACTCATCATGAATAAATAGTTTGTAGGGAGTATCAATTTTTTTAAGGTAGGAACTTGAAAATTGGAATTGTAGCGACCCATTATAAAAATAAGACGTATTTTTACATTTTAAGGGAGGGAAGGGAAGGGGTATGGGGTTCTTAAGGTAGGAACTTGAAAATTGGAATTATACCAACTTATCATAAATAAATATGGATCTGTTGCCTTTTTCTACTCGCAAAATTAACCTGGTATTCTGTAATGATATAAAAGAACTCTTAGAAAAAATGAATTTATTAGAATACACTCCAGATCAGGGATTACCAAACTATTTTGGGCAAGTGACCTTTTTCCAAAATAAACTGATACATCGGATCCCCATAGCCAAACTTCTCTAAAAATCCTTTTTCCAGTTTTTTCCTATTGATAAAAAATACTTAACAATTAAAAAACTTTGCGGTTCGTTCAAATTTAATAAAATAAATAGACATAAAATTCAGTAAATATCAAGTGTAATTAATAATTTTTTAATAGAAATTACGTAAAAATACTTATTTGAAAAAAAAAAAAAAACAATAAAATCGCAAAGTAAAGATAAAAAAAAATAAAAAGTTAAGTGTGATGGATGAACTTGGTGACTCTCTACCAATCTAGATAAATCTGGTTTATTTGTTTTCGCTTATCTTCCGGTATAATTCTCACTTTGTAGTATCGCTTTAGTCATACATCTCGGTACTTTCTAAAGATTATGCAAACCAAACTGGCCCCTTACCCTGACTCATACATTCATTCTGTTTTTTGTACCTCTCGTGATAACATCGTCGAATTTTTGTGTTCGTTTAGTGATTGTTTTTTCTTTTGATTTGTTGTAATCTTTTGAATAATACCCAAAACAAAAAACAGGGATAATTGTTCGAAGGACAGAAAATATAGTACATACATAAAATTGCATCATCATCCGATTCTGGATCGAGTACACCTCGATTTAAGTACTATTAAGGCGTTATCTAAAATATATTTATGAATAAGCACTTGCTAGCATAGGTAACGGTCATGTGACTCGTTTGTACACCCAGGTAAACATGTGTTTACCTAACGAAAGGTAAGTTTTCTGCTCTTCCCGGAAGGTAGTAAAAGTCTAGCAAGTATAATATTGTCAAGTGACATATTTTTCTTAAAATAAATTACTTTAAAAATGGTAAACATGTGTTTAATATTTAAAAAGCCTTGAACTATAACGTGTAACTAGTCTCCAATATAGGTTATTTATTTTAGATTCGCTGGGTTTAAGTGAGTCCCGAGCGTCCACACCTATTTCTAACTGCCAAGTAGAAGATACCACTCCTACTCAGATTGATCCAAATTTGATATCGTTCTTAGGCGTTGATCCTAATGAGAATGAAAAGTTTTCACAAGATCTAAGGAGGATATAGTAACAAAGTGGACCCATATTCTGCGTAATGGACTAAATAAAGAAAATAAAAATAAGTTGTTCGAAAAATATCCGATTCCTCAGAATTGTCCGACATTAAATGCTCCCAAAATGAACGAGGAAATTCAATCTTGTCTGCCAGATCAAATAAATAAACAAGATAAATTCCTACATTCCTTACAGGAACAGTTGGGATATGGATTAACCGCCTTGGGTGGCGAAATTTGTAAAATGCTAATTTCAGACAATGAAAGTTTTAAATCAATACTCGGTCCTATAGCAGACGTAGCTCAAATATTTAGTAACCTGCATAACGCGATTTCAGCTACCAGGAAATATGTAGCATCTTCACATCTAAATTTCCAAGCGAAACAAATAGCCACAAAATCGCAGATAGACAAATATCTTTTTAGCAAGGATTTTAGTGAAAAGGTCAAAGGTAAACGGGCTTTCAAACAAGCTAGTAATGAACTGAAGACATATGAGTACCAGCAACCGAATGCATCAAAAGTATCTATAAATTCAAGGCCTGATTTAAACTTCAGGCGCCCGTAAAACACGTCCAAATTCAAGAGTTTCAGAAATCAGAGGAGAGGGGAGTACAAACAAGTCCAACATCAATCACGAAAACATTTTGGACTACTAACAGTGAACAAATAACTAACTAACTAACAGTAAAACAATTCTTAGATATATACGAGGCATCAAAATTATTTTTAGTGAAAAGCCACATCAAAAAACATTATTTTCAAGAGTAAATATTGGGGATTTAGCAAAACATTTAAAAACGAAATTAGCGATTTATTACATTATTTTTTGGTGAAAAAACCTAATGGTAAGAACAGGTGTATCTTAAAAAAGTTAAACTGTTTTATAAAGGCACCTCATTTCAAGTTTGAGGATTATAGAACAGCGAATAAGCTAATAAGCAGAAATTATTTAGCCTTGATGGATGCTTATTTTTTGTTACCTATTCATACAAAATATAAAAAATATCTTCGTTTTCTATATAATAACGTATTGTATGAGTTCAATTGTTTACCATTTGGTCTTACCGTAGATCCATATATATTTACAAAATTAATGAAACCTGTAATCGAATATTTGAGAAATAAGAACATATTACTAATTATTTATTTAAATCAGCCATACTCAACCTTTTTTCCTTCGGGCCATATTCGTATGTTTGTTATGTTATACGAGCCACAATATTTTTGGAAGATAAACCTTTTTTAGAATATTCATTTAAAATTGGTAAGTGGGGACCTCTAATAAATAAAACACAAAACCTAAATATATCCCGTCAGGTTACTGCAAAAGTAAGATAACTCACATTTTTAGAGTTTCGAGGAAACTGTTAAAATTAGGTTAAAATTGAATAAAAGAGCAGTGAAAGATTAAAACTCTTTAATAAACAATAATCTAATAAAAAAAAAAAAAAAATTCAAAACATAATTAGTCTTTACAAAGTATTTACTAAGAATCCACATCGATTTGTAACAAAAACAAAAGAAAAAAAGAAAAAAAGAAAAAAAGAAAAAAAGAAAAAAAGAAAAAAAGAAAAAAAGAAAAAAAGAAAAAAAGAAAAAAATAAAAAAAGAAAAAAAAGAAAAAAACGTCACTTAGCTTATTTTAGCTGTCTACATACAGATCATAATATTTAATGTATGTGTTACTAACTTCAATGGAAGGTTAAGGTACCGTCTCTTTAACATTATTGGATACAAATAGATTGTGGTAATAATGGTGAAATGTAGCACCTCATTTG